ATAAAGAAGAACTTTTAATATGACTGGGAGTCTTTAAAAATTAGTTTACCATTTAAAAATAATGTCAGCACAATATTTTAGTTTGTACAAAACCAGGGTTAAACTTTCTTAATTACCCACACTGGTTTTATGAGTTAAGTAAGTCACCATTGTTGCCATAACTTCATATATGTGTGTATGTGTGCGTGTGTGTGTGTGTGCGTGTGTGTGTGTGTATGAACAACTAAATGGAATGATAACATGTATTTTTAAAGAGTTTAATATGAAATTCTTAAATTGCTACAAATCACAAAGATTTAACATATTCACTAAAATTGAAATTTCTGGATCCTAACTAACATTTAGATCTTAAGCAAATGATTAAGTTAATAAATAATCTTTGGATGACTGGAGTTTCTAAGTAAAAAAAGATACAAAACACTGGTCACTAAAAGTAATTTTTTATTCTTATTTCCTAGAATGGCACTGTTCTTATCCATAAATTCAGGAAAAGTGCAGAGAACTAATGGAATTCTAAAACCAAAATTATCAAAGTTCTCAGAAACCTCTTGAACATCCGTGGCCCAGAGTTTTGCCATTTTCCTTGATGGTAATGAGATCTGTCCACTCTAGAATCCACAAGTTGTCTCCTTCTAAGTTAATAATGGGTTGCCCCACACATTTGGAAAGCACTTCCAATCCTAGACTCTACCCTATTACAAGCTAATATAACTAATTACCGCAGGGAACTCATACAATATCTCAAGCTTTATTACCAGCAGGTAAGTACAAGCTGCACTTTAAAAACACCCACCTAAGCTGCCTCTGCATAATCTCAAACCTGAAGGTTTGGTTTTCTGAAAAGGCATCAGAAAAACTGCCCTTGAACCTCCAAGGAAAAGACATCAGGTACTGGTAGCAACTGACACAGCAATACAACCCCAAGGTATTGATACTCAAGTTCATGTTTCCCAACTTAAAAGAAATACATCACTTTATCCTGACTAACGGACAGCCATTCCACTGGGACACAAAACAGGAAAACTTAGGACCCCTCCAGAAACTGCTGACTGCAGAAGTGGGCAGCTTCTGCCCAAGATTAATTTTCTGATTCTTCAGCAGCCTTTTCTTTCTCTTTACCACTCATCTCACCTATTATTATTCTTTACACTCTCCAGTAAACAACTAAAAGGCATCCTGTGTCTTTTGACCCTCTATGACCTTCTCCCACTTAAGGAAAAAAGCAAAACATTCTGATAGGTTTTTCTCAGATCATAGCCACTGCTCTGAATTTAACTGTTTGCTGACAAAAATTTAATCATTTTTCCTTTAAACACTTTAAAAGGTACATTTCCTTTCATAGACCCCTTCTGGTTCTTAAGCTTCCCTCACATTAATCCCAAATATTGGTCATATAAAAGTTGACCTCACATCAACAAAATGCTTCTACTGAAGTCATTACAATCCTATCAGCAAAACTCTGCCCATAAAGAATGGAACTAGTACTGGGGCTATGCCTGGCTACAATCATTTTTTCTCTTCATAGACGCTCCTCTGGGAACTGTTTAACTCCAGCCATGATATCTGCCCATTTCAAGGGACACATAATTAGCTCATGCAAATTGACATACACCCAATAGGGTCTGTGCCCCATTAAGATACTATTTCTTACGTGGACATCAGTCTTATAACCACCTGCCACACACTGATTTTTCCTGTATATTTGAGGTAATTGTTAGAGACTTTCAGATATTTAAAACTACCACCCCTCCCGTGTAACATGTTTTCCTGAAAAGAAGAGGCAAGCACAGGTGAATTTGGTTAACTGCCAGGAAAGATAACTGACCATGTGACTCTGTGAGTCACAGTTTCCACAATGGTGAAACAAATCATCCAAAATCTGTTTCTGACACCTGGAGATCGCGTCCCACTCTTTGTCCCACCAAGAAAGTGTCCTTCAGATTCTTTTTTTGTTTTTTTTCTTTTTTGCTGATGGTTTGAGCTATTTGCCAAATTTATCCCAGTTGAATGTGTGGCTTTGGGAGTCTCCTCACTTTGTAGACTTGTGCTTTCCCATCTGTAGATGGAGACATGGGAGAGTAGCTGTCTTAATTATCTCCCAGGGTGAATGGGAAATAATTGAAGTCACGAGTGCCAGTTAGTTTAAGTTACTAACCTTAACCTTTGAGCTGAGATTGCTCCAACCATTTCCTGCCTGCCTAGAGCCTTGTGCCTTTGCATATTGGTTTCTGGTTCATCCTCCTTAGTGAACTAAAGAGAATTAGAATGCCATGATGACTGTGATTTGAGTATACTAAGGAGTTTTAGGATAGTGCAGATGGCTAGGAATGGGACACTAGATTGACAAATATAAATAATGACAAATATGTGGTGACAGAAAGAAATCTAACTATGGGAGGTGAGCGCACAGTGTAAATATATATATATATATGCCATACCGTTAAAATGTACAGCTGAAAATTATTGGATTTCATTAACCAATGTCACCATAAAAATAAATAAATAAATAATAAAAATAAAAAACAAATATAAATAATGAGGAATACTGACCTTGGATTCAATACATTCATTAAAATGCACAAATCTCAGGCATACCACTGATATTGGATATTTGACAGGACATACACCTATGCGACTCAAAGCTCCATCGGGGTACAGAACAGCTTCATCACCCCAGAAAATTCCCTTAACTCCCCTTCACAGTTAACCCCTGGCTCCCATTTCCCAGGGGCAATCACCATTCTGCTTACCTCTCTCCCTTGATTTTTAAAAATATTTTCAATTTGTGGGTTATTTAGAGAAAGTGTGGATGGTGAGGTGGCAGGATCAGGACTGCACCGAGGCTCTCAATGGAGAATGTGAAGCTGAGAGCTGCTTAGAATCATTTATTCTGTATGATATTTAAATCAAATCAAACCAAGCCTTTCCTCTCCCCCCACCAAAAATGTTTTTGCAAGAGTTGGCCTCCAGCCATCAGTCTCTTCCACTAGCAAAAGAGAGGATTTGTTTAACTGCTTTGTTCTTTTCTTTGTTTGTTTGACTAGACTCTCGACCCAATCTCCCTGTCAAGCATTTTAACAATTATCTTGTTTAGGAAAGAAACTTTAGCTATCTGCCCAAACTCCAAAGCTTAGGTTCACTGGACTCTAAGCTTCGGCCCTACCTCCACACCCTGGTGGCTTTGCAGAATTCTTCCAGCTGCCAACGGAGGAGAGTGACAACATTGGGGCTTACCGGTCCCACCCCCCACCCCTAGCCGTGGTGTCCCCTCCCGCACCCACGCCCACGCCCC